ATACTTTCACAGTTTTAATATAGAACATATACCTTTATTATCAAAAAAGACATTCCACAGTATGGGACCTTTAAGTACTTGATCAAATGTATTTTCCACCAGTGTGTCCATGTGTACATAATGTTTTGATGCATAATTTTCCTGTTTTTCTTCTTTAACAACCCAATTATCCTGCAGGGAGAGTTAAAATCTTTCTAATCTTATTAGTTTCCACTTGACTTGTCACAACACTTGCTGATGTTTATAATAAGTTAATTTCAGATGGTAATTAAGTGTTGCACGGTCCAGCTCGTAATGAGCCTGATTGATGGGGAAACGGTGTTTAGTGTCATAGCAGTCTGTCATGATGTTGTCATGCAGGTTTATAAAAGTCGGTAATGAGCATTGACATCATGAGTCACCCATAATCTGTTTTTCAGGATAGCCTGCCTGGCATTGGCTTATCTACTGTTTGAGTGAAGCTGTGATAGGGCAATTTATAATCAGCCTCTGTGTCCACAGCGATGACCTTATTGTTTTCCTGTCTGTTTCCTGCAGGGTGAGACAAGGGAAACGTAGGCGGCTCTATTATCAGGTCAGTGGTTTCACCCTTGCAACCAAATATAACCTACATTCGTGTTTTTGCTGTTTCACTTTTTCCATCTTTATATTATGGTTACAAGTGGAAAGTAATTCCCCTGGAAAGCATGTCCAATCTAGATCTGCTATATATGCAAGAATGTAAACTGCACATCAGACATATTATTATTTTTGTTTTCTGTAATGTGCCAGCAACAAAAACAACTTTGGCAGTAATTAAGGCTGTGGTGATATCATTTTCACCACGCAATTATCGTGACCAAAAGAATTCATGGTAATAATATTATCGCATGTTGTTTATTATGTATTTTGTCTCTGTTTTGACAAATGAATTAGACTCAAATACAAGTGCAGGGAGGTGGAGAGAGAGTCTGTAACCATAACTGTGGAATATTGTACAAAAAGAACAATTGATGCGTAGTGAAAAGGCAACCAGATGAAGTGATAAACAAAGTTTTCTACAGGTAGCCAGTGCTTCAGTAGCTTGTTTCAGTCAATAGGTTCTGTGAATGCACTGTGGAATACAACAATGCATTCACATAAAAAAATGAACTTTTGAATACTTTAGTATTTTTTAAAAGTAAGTACTCCAGCACTTTGACTCATGTAATGGGATTGTGTATTTGGTCCACGTCTGGAGACATCTGATATCTATTAATCTGTAATGCTATGAAATCTGACAGGAGGTTGAGTGAGTTGAGCAGATATGAATCACAGCCGTCTCCATCTTATTCATCCACAGAATTTATGGCCAGATCGTCCAAATTAGTAACAGGAAATGAACATCCAACAAAGAGATACAACAAAAGCTGAAACATGATCCTGCTGAGTAATTATAATTTTGAAGACGTGGGCGAGGCTAATCAAACAGCACATGTATTGTCCGGATTCTATTCACCATGAAATGGTTGGACTATCTGGCATATTTATAGTTAGCCTTTCCAGGGTTCAGAGACGCAGGTTTCCTCTGTTTGTTCACTGTTTCTAAGTTTAATATGAGGGTGTTCTATGAAAGATCACAATGCTGATTGTCAAAATATTCTTTTAAGTGGAAATGTACCCATAATGCGACGTTATATGTGAGGAAACTGAATCCGCCTTGTGGAAAATCACCAGAAGGAGGAAAACTTGTACAGTATGTTCAAAAACATGTTTCTGTTAATACCATAACTACTAGGCATTTACTGTAAGGTCGTGTATTGTTTTACTTAAACTGTTAACATGAGGGTATACAACAGGGGTCTCCAACAGGTGGCTACCAGTAACTCTCCCCCTGTTTCAGAGCAGCTCGCCCAAAGGTTCAGAGATTATAGTCTGTGCAGACAGTGGGTGTGTAGTTCAAACACAACTTCACTCAGTAAATCTGCAACTAAATCAAATGCACAGTCAGTTCTCAGTTGTCAGTTGTCAGTCACACGAGTTACTGCAGGTTTGTTTACACCAGATCTGCCGTAGGCCACATTTAGTGATAGCAACTCCTCTGATAACGCAGATATAAACTCCACATTTCCAACAAACAGGAAACCTGTTGGCATGGATGAAATGTGTTCAGCTGTGGGCTTCAACTTGAGCCTGTGTTTGTTTACATTTTGGAAAATGAAGTGTAGTGAATGAGCTATTTTAAGTTCCTGTTCGTTATGTACCATTGAATTTACTGACAACTGTCACTGATCACTGACTGAGGAGCTTCTTCTTTTCTCTGGTTTCTAAGCAGATTTATGGACGTTTATTTGCATTAATTTTGATTTTGGACACAAAAATTGACTCTGATGTGACGTCTCGTGAGTTTCACATGGTACAAAATGTGATTTTGGATTTTGATATTTGATTAATTATCGTATTCATCTGATTTATTTTGGAGATCAGTTTGAGTGTTTTGATATGATATGTGAATAAATGTAACATAAATGTAATGTAAGGAGCTCACAACCCCTTTTATTTTATCAAAGTAGCTCTCAGAGTAAAAAAGCTTGGAGACCCCTGGTATACAGATCTAACAAAGGAGAAATACTGAATAATACATGTTGCATGTCTATCATTATGTCGCTGTCATCAGTTAGAACTGTATCGCCATTTCTTTCCTCCATAGGCCTTAAACAGTGACCCAGCAAATAACAATTAGGAGTCAAATCATAAAAGGACTATAATTAAATACAGTAAGAGGGTGGGGGCCCTGTCTGGGGCAGTATGACTAGACTAAAGGTCAGGAGCAGGCCTGCTTTTGTCCGACTTTTCCGTCATATAGCCAACAGCTCCTCACATGGAGAGCTGTGCTAGCAGAGTATTCAGCAGAAGAAAAAGAAAAACACCGCCCCAGACTGGGCATGGCTGCGTCTGCTATTCTCACAGCAGGCAGCGCTGTATGGTGTGTTTACTTAATAATACCAGGCAAACAAAGGGCACATACATTTTTATCAGAGTTACATGAGTTGAACTGCACCACTATCAGCTCTGGCATCGATGCCCTGTTCTTGGATTACTGCAAACATTATTGATGTGTTTAAAAAAAGGGTCTGAGAAGTTTGTTTTTGTCTGTCTCTCTTTCCTGAGTTTTAGTTGTCCAGCCACTTTACATATACGCTCAGTGACAGAGTCTTTAAAAGGCCAGTAGGTGGCAGACCAATTTATGTCACTCATTTATGGTGTACAAGTCCACAAAAAAACATGTACTGCACTCATGGCGTGTAGTTCAGCAAATGACCAGAAGAGATCACAGTCTTCAAACTTTTAAAGTATGTACCTGCAGCAGACAAACGATGCGTGACTTGCTCAGGTTTCAAAGAGAGCAGATGGGTGCAACTTAAAATGTGCATAAGCAGTGTACCTGCAATAACAATAATAATTAATAATAATAAGTCAGTCCATTTATTTTTTTTAAAATGTGAATTTGCATATAAAAAAAATCTGCAAAAAAGAGAAATCTTTGTCCATGTCAGCATTTATTTTTTATTTATCTGCAGTCTTTCGCCTTTCAAAAATATTAAACCTTAAACCTACCTAGTTCACGTTTCACTGCAATGTAAAATGTAAAAAAAGAACATCTCTTACTATGACTAATACAATATTTCTCCCTTTTCAATCAACATCCCCACAGAAGAAGGGTTAGTGTACATTCATGTTATACACCCAAGTATCTTCCTTAATAATGTCAACATCCTGTCAGGATTTGCTGCAGTCAAATGCAATTAAATTGGACCTCCAGAGCTGGGATAACTGACAGATCAAACGCACAGCAGTAGAGAAATATATGTTAATGTATGACCATCTATCTGTATTCAAAAGCTGTTCAACAAATATACCCTTTTCAAGACATAGTTTCTACAAGGGATGTTTCCGTATTGAATATTCATGTGCAAGGGTTTTATTTGTCACATATACAGTACAAGCATTATGTCTAATGAAAGTGTGTCATGCTCATTAAGGCTGTGCTCGTGTATAGATAGGAAATATGATGGTTGATATTATATTATTGATATTATAATCATAAATATATTTTATTTATGATTATTAATGATGCTGTTGCACTACAAAGACTCTTCTCTGCCTGAAGGAAGACACCCGGATTACATTATCCATCGCATCTGTTACATTTTAGATTCATCTGTTGATAATTTATCTAGGACTGTCTGTATATACTGTTGCATGTGTATTTACATTGTGCTTATTGTTACAATACATACAATGCACAGTTAATTCTGTGTAACATCCATGTGCAATCGTGCACCTTACTGTACAGCTTTTTGATGCACTAACGTACAGTGAATTAGAGTTTATGTATCATTGTGCAGTTTATATTCAGCATATAGTATATTGTAGTTATGGTTGTTTATTTAAATTAATTTAATTAATTAATTATCATCAATTTATTTTTTAAATCTATCTATCTATCTATCTATCTATCTATCTATCTATCTATCTATCTATCTATCTATCTATCTATCTATCTATCTATCTATCAACAAACTTAAAAAATCTATTTATCATAAATATATATATTTTTAAATGACATTTTGTATAATTTTGCATTGGAAAACGTCAACCAATCATTTCAAACAGTGATACCATGGCACTGCCCGACTGTAAATCATGTAACCACCCTTTCCTTACCTCTAACCACCGTCAACAAACTCTGCCCAACCGTAACCATGAAATGCTTCAGCTTCATGCATGTCATTATGAGAGCTCACGTGGTCACGTGGTACCTGCGGTTTGTGTGTGTTCAGATTTTTGCTGTTGGGGGAGCAACCTCGCTGGAAAGTGCGCATGCGTGAGAGTATTTAATCTTCCCAAGCGAGTTAATGTGCAAACACCTTTTTGAAACTAAAGTGTCAAGAAAGAAGTTTCAAATAGAAGATTTTAACTTCTCTCTTGGCGTTTGGTGTAAAATTGAGGCGATGCTCGTGCGCTTTGTTTCTTCCGCCTACGTCAGAAAGTTACTTTTATGACTCTATTTGGGTCAAAAGGTAGTTAGTGAAGCTAGTTCCGCCTTGCTTTCTCCCAGTGATGGACAGCAGCGACAAGTGTCAAAAGTAATCAGGGGTCAACGAGATACGGGGGAAACACGTCTCCTTCCTTTTGGATACACTATCTCACAAGTTGAGCGGTTACAAGTAAAGGTGAGTCGCATTTTTGCACTTTTAATACATTCGTCTGTTTGAGCTAGAGCGACAAGTGCGAGCTAATTTACGTTTGCTAACAAAGCTAATGCTACAGTACAGGGACAGTAGCCACCTGTTGCCGACTCTGCTTTTAGCTAGCATCAGCCAAGGATTAGCATTATGCCAGCACTGTTTGTAATGCGTTTCTATCTTTAGCTTACAAATTAGTTGGTCAAATTAGAAAGGCGGAATGAACAGGAAGACCGAAAAGAACAGAGTAACAGACGGTGCTCAGACTGTGTTACAGTATGTCTAACTTTATACAGTTAGCCTCGGTTGTCCTCTGTTATGTACCTGTCTGATGTTGGCTTGTTACAGCCCGTGTATTGCTAGCAAAAGGGCGATCCTGAAGAATAGAGCCTTATTTATGACTTATTATGACTGTTTTGGCTATCTCAGTGTTATTCTTAACCACTGTGAGAATGTTAAAACCTATGACTTTTATATTTATATATATATATATATATATATATGTGTGTTGTATATTTGAAATTCTTCAATTCAGTATATTTGCCTATGAGGTGTTACTGAGCCCTGGGACTTTTGCATGGCAGCTGTAGCATTATATTACAGTGACTGAAGGGAGGCTTCAGGTGTAAATTATTTGAAGCAACTTAACTCTCTGTGAAACGTTCCTCTGCATTCCATTCACAGGCCCGTCTACTTGTTCCAACAGGCACCCAGTGCTTTTAGTGCTGCCTCAAAGCAGTATTACGCCCTATAGGACAACACAGACTGTTAGAGGAGAGAAAACAAAAGGAGCTGCAGCTTATTGTATTTGTTCCAGATAGGCGGCATTGTAATCGGGTCATTCATTTTATTGTGCTTTGTGTACAGATAGTCGTGGATTGTTGCATCTCACAAGGATTTCGCCTCACGTATCAAGCAGAAGAGATGGTGGCAAATTTCAGCTCAATCTGAATACATAAAGGTGGGTTGCAATGTGGAATGAAGTTGAGGGGTTGATGGTGGTGGGGCATGTTGCAGGGGACTGGAATTGATTTTTCAGAGCATTCAAATGGTGGGAAATGAACACCGACCGTGGCATGTAACTGTAATCTTGTTTACAGAAGTGCCTTCTTTGGCAGATAACCAATTGTTTGTCTGGAGGTAATTTTGTACCCAGAGAGGGAATGTTTGCAGTTCAGTTTGACTGATGGTAATGAGTATGTTTCAAAACATTTAACATTTAGCATTTGGTTGGAAGTTAGGCACATATTATCTCAATCTAGATGCAGATTAAATATTTCTAAAACTACATTTTGCAGAGTCTGTAGACGCTTGAGTCAGTTTTGATTTTGGAAACAAACTGTACAAGTGGCAGAATCTGATAAAAACAAGCTGCTTTCGTTGTTAGAATAGAAATAAATAGAGAACAGAGATGTATTCAGCCGAAGTTGTTTGAGCATTTGAATCTTGGGGGTCTGTGTGTGTCTTACATAATCAGATGTGTGTGTGCCATTATCAGCAAGCTGTTGACAGTGGCTCATTGAGATCCATGCAGCTCGCTCCCAAACAAACTCCATCTTGGCTCTTTATTTAGTGATTGCTAAGTCTGCAGAATGAAACTTGGCACAATGGCTGATTGTACTCCTCTCAGCTTTGCAGAACTCTGGCCCTTTATCCGATGAACTGGGAGTTCTTAATGAGCTAATTGGGAGCTTACACTGAACAAACAGGATTGTGTAAAATTTATGCACTACCTCGCAGTGCATACAGGGCCCAGCTGATTTTTAAACATTGACTTTTCAATGGAGTGAGAGTATGTAGAGTAAGTAGCTCTGACAGTGTCATTCATCATGCAGCATTCTCAGGAGTTGTTTTTTTCTTTGCTAAGGCAACATAATAAGTTATCATAAAACTACACATTCATTCCATTAGAACTGAGTAAAATGTACATTAACAAGGTTTGTTCACAATATGGATCGCTAACATTGCTACAAAGGTCTTGGATATATTTGTTATTTGTGTGAAGAAACACTGAATTTGTAGTCTGTGGTTGCAGTTGGTTGCAGTCTTATATGAGATGCAGTTTCTTGTGTTTTATTTTAATGACAAGCAGCATGCCTGGCAGTAAGCTTATCCAATTAGCAGTTGACAGTGGTGAAATCTTTTCTGTGGCTTTCCAAAATGAGCTTCGATTTATGAGAGTGAATTATACTCTGGTTACCACGGCTCTGTTACTAGTTATCTGATTTTTAAGGCATTAGTTGGTTCAATATGCACTCATCTTTGAAAATCTAGATCAATCATTATTGTGGAAAGTAAGAAGAATGGTTTTTAATGGTTTTTCTTTCAATATCATTTCTAATGTTTTACGTTTTATACATAAAATAGGAGTTCAGTTTAATATTTTCAAGAGAAAACATGGAAATCAGACACATAAATAATAATGATATACATAATAATATAACGCCATCTTCTCTGATTGTGATTGGCTCAGTTGTTGCATGATTAATGAATATGTACATTTATGCAATGTAATTATTCAGTAGTCTCTTTGTATTTGTTCTGCCACGAACATGAACATCTAACATATCACAATGAATTGACATTTTTCAGAATGTATTCACACTGAAATGTCAGTCATAAGATGTCCTAAATAGTTCACACATTATTCAAGGTATTGCAACCTTATTGTGTAAACAGGTCTGAAGCCTCACCTCCATAAGAAATATAAAGGTGTACACTCACCACCGTGTGAAAGTGATGAAATACCGCTGCTGGATCCTGTTACTAAACCGGAAAATCGAGCTGCCATTTTGCTTACTGTTCTCTAAGTCATTCTCTTTCTAATGCTAAGAATGAGTGAAAACCGGACATAAGTTAACTCAGAGACCAGGCTGTTAACCTCTCTGACCTCTGGCTACTCTGTAAGATAATGACAGGACTGGGCGGGAACCTGTGTGTTTGTACATGTTCCTGTGGTCTCCCGAAGGTGTCAAGCATTTCAATATGGGGATTTTGTATGCTCACAAAGCGGTGCACATTAACTCAACTCTGTGTTTGCTTTGCTGCCAGCCTGCACCTGCTAATTGTTGCCCTTCTGAGCTGAAGCTCACGTTGGGCCCGGTGCACCCGGGAGGATATTTGATAACAGAATAGAGTTGCAGTGGTGCTGAACTTGATCTAGTGAATTATTTGTGAGTTCAAGTGTGTATCGACTTCTCTCTCTTATGGGCAGGTTGGAAACGGTGAATAATAAATGGATTAAGCCTTCTCTTAAATGACAAGACCATAAACCAAATCAAATGGGGCTATGATTGTTAATAGCTCAGATTTAATAGTTGTTTTGTGTGTTTAGTTATGAGTCTTTTATGACATTGATATCAAGGGAGAAATACATTGTCAACAATGAGTGTGCTGGGCATGCAGTAACTGTGATACACTCTGTTACTGTTTACTATAAGTGGTGATATTTATTGGACATAAATGCAAAGTCAGTAATTTACACAGTCATCCTATTTACCTATTTATTTCCAGGTGAAACCAGTAATAATACGATTGCAGGCCGATTGGAGCGTTCATACTTTGTTTTTGTTTTTTTGCTTTTTGCTACATACAGTGTAAGCTAAATTTTTTATTGTTCCAGAAGCTCAGTCTCCTGATTTAACTGCGTTGTATCAATCTTTAATTTTTCTAAGCCTTGTGTGCACTTCTCTGAACCGTCTGCGCTGTACATGATGACTGTTTATAAATGTTACTTTGATAACCCGAGGCAGATATGCGGCAGTAGCTTGCACACTAGTGAGGTGGACATTAGTGTTTTCAGTGGATCATTTGAAGTGTGGTACAGTCCAGACATGTAATCCTCCATGCAGCTGTTTCACATGTGCTGTGTGTACATCATATGCCAACACTTGTCAAACCAGTTGGGACTGAACCAAAGCTGACCAGGCAGAGGGTTGGCCACTGTTCAAAAAAAACAAAAGGAAAAAAGCTATTACTGCCTGATTTTAAAAGATCAAGGCAGAGTTGGTTTTGTAGTTTGAGATTTAATGGACTAGTTTAAGTCTTATAACAACTTCTTGGTATTTTTGTCAGTGGTGATGACTGTGTCCTGGCAAACGCAGCGCCATAATCACTTTGCTGCTAAGTTGTCCTGCTGGAACAAGAAGTCACAGCTAAACCGCGAGGACAGCACTGGGGAGATCCTTCAGTAGAAGTAAGTTAAGCTAAAAATAAATGAGCCCATTTGAAAGCTGAATTCATAGAGAACCTGTTGTGCTTCAGCAAATCACCATAAGAATCTGGTCTAGTCCATCATGTTTTTGCCTGTCAGGCTACACTCTCCTATTTATTCTGCTGTGTACACATTGTGCAGACTGTTTATTCACAAAGGTCGGGCTTTACCAGATTGTTGTTGAGGGACTTTTGACATTCCAAAGTGCAGCCTGATACTGATGTGGGGAACCTCCCATGCCAAGCGTCAGGATGTAGCCGCACCTAGCGACTTCGACCAATTACAGGCAGGGTTATCATTTGAATAGTTGGTGTGAAGGTCTGTAGGAGAAATGACACAGATTGTCTCGTTGAAGTGAGCTCTGTCCTGAAACAACTTTCTCTGTCTTCTCGTTCTTTTGCTCTTCCAGGTGTCACGACGTGTCTTCACTTGCTGTATCCGCCCTTTACAGACAGGCAGCCGCTACAAAACGTATATAGTGGAAACCCTGCAGTTATGACTTATTGACTACTGCTGAACAGTGCTGTCACTATTGCAGAAGAAACCTGACTGGTTTACTTTTTTAAATTAAAAAACAAATAAATATATAGATAGATAGATAGATAGATACAGTGTGACTTTTAGCTGGGCTTCATCAACAGATTTTAGAGCAAGTGGTATCTCCATTGTTGGTGCTTTGTGGAGCTCCGTACCAGCGGCGTGTTTCATAAAGGTAGCTCAGACAGGCAGAGCTTACTGCGCAAAGCCTGTCTTGAATTAAACTAACAAAGTAAACCAGGATTGAACTGTTTCAAAGAGCTAATGAGGTCAAACAAAGTCAAGTCTGCTTTAAGAAGCGCTCGTTAATGACTTCGAAACACGGCCCTGAGACATCAAGCATGCGGTCTTGTTGCCACGGTAACTTAGATCAGACTTATGTAGGCCTCCGTTATGAAAACTGAAAATAAGTCGGGTTCATCTGGTAACGCCTCTGAGATGAGTGTTTTACATTAATTGTCAATTAGCACGGGTCCTTGTTAACTACTCATATCTAACTTAGTCACAAAATTTGCAGATAAGTCTCTGCTTACACTTGTATATTATATGTTATACACTAATGTGTGAGGGCTGACACACTTTTTACCATTTAGATAGCAAACACCTCTCGGTATAAGTGCAGTACAGTTCAGCTGCGAAGTTTACCCAATAAACTGCTAAATGAGAGTGATTCGAAAGAGCCAAACAAGATCTCAGAGGAAAAGTACTCCATTACTTGATGTCTCATTGTATCACACAGTTGCAGTTATTACTAACTACCATGTTTCCATACTGTTATTTGTTTGTATACATTTTCACTCTCTCAGGTATAGCTCAACCACAGTTAACCTTTTTTGTCCCATCTTTGAGCTTTACACGTCACGTCATGTAAGATGGTTTATAAAACCAAACTGCACACAGCACACTCATATTTACCAGCCCATCAAGTGTGTGTTTTGTTCAAACCAAAGGACTTTAATTGTTGAAGAGTCTATTATTTAAGAGTGTGTATTTCATTCTTTAGTCCCGTGGGAAATGATGTACTCCTGTTCTCCTGGACACTGCTACTGGCTGATAACTTAAAAAAGGAAAACTGAATGAGACTGTTTTGCCTTTTAAGTCGAGCAGGAGTGGATTTCTAGTGTGTGTGTGCGTGTGTGCGTGCGTGCGTGCGAGTGAAAGCTAATTAATGCACTGTTTAGTCTTAGTTAACACAACAGAGCTTTTGTTCAGCTTCAGTCTGTCCCCCATTAGCTGCAGAGAACATCCAATCTATTGAAGTGCCCTGAGAGTCATTCATTGATTTACTGAGAAATAATGGGAAACTGGAGCCTGAAGTGACTGGAATAACTTCGGCTAGTTCCTCTAAAGTTTAATTTTAATATCGGCTGCTTTGGGATTCTGCAGTTTCCCAACCCCTCCATGAGATTATGTTTTGTTTCACTCATTATTTTCAAAGTAAATTATTTGTTTATCCTTTCTCTTGTAATTAGACACATTTGCATCTTATAATGAATGAATGAATCTGTTGTGTTGTGCTGTACTATTGAAATTCTTCTAAATTCATACATTTCATAATGATTCAATGCATTCATCTGTTTTCAGGAGCTGCTGACTGCTGAGTTTTGGACATTGTGATGGAAAATCCTGGTAAGAGAAACTCTATTTTTATTATTCCTCCAATTGTAAAGGTTTTATTTTATTGTATATGCTGACTGTAGTGAGACTGACGTTATCTGAACTGTAGTATCGTGATGACAGAAAGCGGTGAGTCAACAAGCATAGTGCCATGTTATGAAGTTGTCCATTAAGGGGGTGGCCCTGTGATGCATTGTGCTGTTGACACTGCTGGTATCTGATTGGCCCTCGCCCAGAGGACACACCTGTACGTGAGCAGAGCTGCCGGTTTCTCTCACTGCCACGCATGGCCTTGTGTCTGTTTCACCACTGACCTTGTTCGTTTGACAACCTCGGCGTATCAAGTACACGCTCGGAGGATCTTTGTTCCTGGGCTGAGCCGTTGTTCGTGCATTTGTGACATCTGTGTGAAATACCTGGGATGGCTGTGCAGGCTGAATGTATTTGTGAGTAAACCTGCTTTCTGTCTGTTGGCGAATGTTCACATTTTTGAAGATTTACATTAGATTTGAATTTACATTTGACCTTTATTCTTTAAAGTGTAGTCCGCTCTCTTGGCTTGCAGTATGTCCCTTTTGTTGAAATGTGAGACGGTATTGAAAGTAAATCGATCAGTTATTGCTTTAGTCAATGTAAAGATAGAACAGGACGTGGCCTTATGAGAACTTCATAGACATCTGTGCCATGGCAGGAACAGATTAAGGAAGCTTGATGTACTCATCCCTGCCTGGCCCCGTGTCCAAGCAGTAAAAATAAACTGGACTTCCTCCTCGGCTCTATTCTGAAAATGATTTGCTTCTGTTGAGCAGCTGCAACGCTTCACATGTCCTTTATATTTTGAAAGCCATCCAGCATGTTGGCTAATGTCACATTATATTGTATGTTTTGGAGTTGTCATTATGAGATAGTATAGTAGTATTTTTCTGAGTCATCAACTTGTTTGTTGTTTTTGTTCAGCCGGGGCTTCGTGTTTCTCAGGTTTGGTTTAAAAGCCTGAAAACATTTCTTTGTCTCCATCTGCTGCTTCTCTACGGAAAGAGTGACAAAAGGTTTCAGTGGCACGATGACTCACAAGTCAGAGGATGTCATCGCTTGTCATCGCTTTTTTATTTACCAGTAATTTCAAGGATTGTTGTGATTCTAATTATGATCCTTGTACCAAGAGGTGTGCTTGTGGTCTTGCGTTCCGTACATTCCTGTGTCAGTTGTTCCTCTATGCTGTAGCTTTAATTAGACTGTAGAGGGAGCAACAGTTATGTGCATAGTTTGGTCTCTCTCTCTCTCTCTCTGCTTCCCAAACTTCTTCTTATTTTGACCTTTTTTTTTATTTTAAAACTTCCTCTATTTTTTAAACTAAAGTTGAAGTTGTAATTCAGCATAACTTAATATATTATATATTAGCAATAGCATGCTATTTTTGACTACATTTTATGGAAAGCTATTCATTTTTATCTCATCTGTGGAGAAAATCCATCATGAACATGTCATTACACTGTCTCGTCCTTTTTAACTTTCTATAAACCAAATTCTGTGTGACTAACTGTGGAAACATCCTTTCTCCTACTTTCCAATTTTATCTCTAACATGGATGTAGGAGCTTATCTAGCTCCCACACACTGATTACATATAATCAAATCACACGGTGCTCTGATAGAAATGTCCAGAGACAGACTGCCTGGCTGCCTTGTTTCTGTCCAGCATGGACATGGATGTTTCTGAGATTAAGGGTTTGACCCAGTGACTGCTCACGTGTGTGTTGTGCGTTTGACACTGTGTGTTACAACAGGATTTAGGAAGATGAAGTAAAACTAAACAAAACAGCAAATGAAGTTGTAATAAAAGCATTTACACAGGTTAATACTTTAAGGGTATTAGGGCTGAACAATGAATCGAAACATTATTGAAATCAAAATATGGCCAAGTGCAATATCACAATAGACCATAAATGAAGCAATGTGGTGCTGCAGAGACGACCTGGCCTGCAAATCAAATTCTCCAGATGTAAAGGAACATGCTTGTTTGGCACATCATCATCATTTTTTATATATATATATATATATATATATATATATTCATATTTTCCCCTACAATCATCATTTCATATTGCAATATCTGTCCAAACAATCGCAATATGATGGTACTATGACTGTTATCTATACTTCTTATCGATCTGATACTTAAATGGTACTCTTATCATTTACTTTTTTACTATTTTTCTTTCAAGATAAAGAAAGAAAGAAATTGAGAACAGCATTGACATTGCTTGATTTTCTTATATGTGCAGTTCATAAATTAATATTCTTGAGCTGCGAACTGTCAAATCACTAATTGTAACTTTTAATCTATTTCACTCGATGTTTTGACAGATTGCTCGTGTTTCCGCCCTCACATGCCAAAGGCATGACACATACATGTGGCAACTCGTGTAACCACACTTTTGAATGTTTACTTCTCTCCACCATTGTCGCTAATAGCATTGTCTGTGTGTGTGTGTGTGTGTGTGTGTGTGCGCTGCAGTGTGTGAGACGGAGCTGCCCCCACCCTTTACACACACAGCGAATTTCTAACAGTCAGAAATGCATCAGAGACAAATGTCTTAATCAGAAACTGAGCTGGTGCGATAAAATGTGAGATAACTTTTATGTAGCAATAATAATTAGGAAGTTTATTTTCTCAATTTCTCCAGTACTGAGAGCAGAACTGATAAAGTACGAGCTTATTTATCTTACACTTGGATTTAATAATTTAGTACCGGAGTCTGTTTAGTACCGTGTTTCGGCACTCGTCCCTAATTTTGCCCCCACACCTGAGGGAGGTGTGGTCCAGGAATTGTGTCAATCATAGCTGTAAAACAAAGTGGCTTACATCCACATCTTGCACGTGCATTTTGTAGTTTAAATGGACAGTCGTCGTCGTCGTCCCCCCCTGGTGAGTCACCAGACACCCCTTCTGTGTCACTTCCTCTTCTCTGGCACTGAGCTCCACCTTTGCCCAGCTCACCTTCCACTTCTCAAGTTACTTCACGCAGCAGAGCCCGCCCCTCGCGCTTCAGGGAGTAGTGTTTTGTCAGTCTGAGAAATGGTGCTAGCGGGGGGCCCCCACTGCATTGCAAATCCCTCAAGGCTTGATGGCTGGACCGGCCAAACCTCAAAGCTCGCCTACTGTGAACTTTGCCCCTGAAAAATCTGCTCTCAGGAATGAAAGGCATCTAAGACTGCAGGATTACCTTATTGGCGTACCTTATTTATGAAGTCAGAGCTCCAAGAAGGGAGGGACCTAAGGAGTGAGTGAGTGTGCTGGTGTTTTAAAACGAACGAAGGAGGGAGGAAGGGAGGGGGAGACCAAGTAACACAGGCTGAAGGGAGGGGGAGGGAAAAACTATAGACACGAGAGAGAGACTAAACGACGCAAGTGAGCAGTCAAGACAGTCTTGAGTTACAGGAGCTCCATGTCTGGGTGGAGAAGAGCGAGGTGGCTTTAGGTTTTCCTCTCCTGCCGCGGGCCTCGGGAGAGGCAGGGCCCGGCAGGCCAGTGGGGACAGGAGCCGTAGCATGGGACACAGTGCTAGCAGTGAGACAGTGGCCCAGCAACCAGCCCAACACAACACGGGTGAGTCCAGGGGGGCCAGAGGCTCGGCACTAAATGCTTCCCGTGAACATAACTTTGACTGATTTCTTTAGATGTGGAAAACGACATTGGCGAGCATGTTTGGCTTTGTGTAGGGGGCGGGGGGGCAGGTGTTTTTTTTTTTTTTTTTTTTTTTTTTTAAAGCAGAGAGAGAAAACTGTAAGGCGGCAGGCACAGGCAGGTGTAGAAGAATGCGTGCAGATGGAATGTGGTGATTGTGAAATACACAAACCACACAAACTCCTCTCTGTCTGCACGCTGCGCTCCATCTCCCCCGAGGAAGCCTTCCTGGAGGGGGGAAAAAAAACAAAAGATTTGAGGGTACAAGGCACCAACTGACACCACCAGCTCTCCACATGTGGATCTCAGTTTTAACTTAAATGACTTCACTTCTCATGTCGCGGGTGTGTACACTGACCCATGAGCTAATAACAGTTCAAACACTGAAAACCAGTTTTTGCTGGATCCTCTCTCAAGTTGTATTTGCGCACCTACAGCTCCTCTTAATAATACAGCTGTCAGCTATTGGAATCCAGCATCTGTGCAATGCAGGCCACCGACTCTAATTTGGTCACGACCTTCTGTTTGTTCAACAGAAACGACGGCCTGCTCACTCACAATTGGTTGAATCAATATTTGTTTTGTTTTTTAACTGCAGGGTTTCTGTTCAGACACGTCACAACACTCCTACTCGAAACAAGCAACATAGGAACATCTTCTTTGTTGTGTGTTTTTCTCTCTATGCAACATGTATTTTTGGCCCCCGGTGAGCTATTTTGTGTAGTTGGTGTCAACATGTCATGTGATTGGCGTGAGTCATATGGACAGCTTTAAACCAGAGGGGTTCAGGGTGTTGCATCAGTTGCCAGCTGGTTAGTGCAGCTTTCATGCTTTTATTAGCACTTTGAGTTCTACATTTACAGAAGTCTGTGTTGTTGTTGTTACTAGAGTCTTTCACCTCATCTGTAAAGCAGCCATCTCGGATTGTCGTGCTTTACTGTAACACAAAGTCACCACATCACACACAGCCAAGCCACATCAGTGTTATCCCAGTTCACTGCCGCCCCAGCCCTCCCAGTTTAACGCTGCACTGGTGTCTGGATTATGTGTCAGGAATAGAAATATAATGTGAGGGCCAGTGCACTGCACAGAGTTCACTGACCTGTGTACGCCCACATTTCAGCATGGGAGTTCACACATACATACATCCAACAGCCTGCTTCACTTCACACAGTGGACAGACAGGATCATGTGAACATATGATGGAGAGACTTTTTAATGAACAGAGTTTGACGGTCATCTTAGGTCGAATGCCAATTAACCAGCTCTTAAATATGTGTGTTTTGTCAAATTATCAATGTTTGAGCTGCAACTAACAATTGTTTTCAGTATTGATTAATATGCCAGTTATTTTCTAGATAAATTAATGGTAAAGTGACATTTTCAAATGTCTTTTTTTTGTTTAACCAACAGTGCAAATTATCACATTTGAGAAAATAGAAACAGAAAATCTTTCATGCTTTTTCTTACCAAAACAACTAAAACATAAATTCAAGATCATCAAAATAGTTGCGGATAAAAACTTCCAAAGTTATACTTGCGTAGCAAACAAACAATCAAACAAACGGAGAAACGGTAATAGCACATTAAGTATGATCAACATGAATACATACAGAGTAAAGACAAACTATTGCTCATCGACACAGAAGCCTTTCATCCTGACCTGCCTTTGTAAAGAGTTTTTGTCTGCTCCCTGTAGTGATAAATGAAACCAAGTGTGAAGACAAAGAGAAACTTTTAAAGGTCAAGGCTGAAGAGAACGCATCTTTCTGTCCTGTCATGTGATACATAACACACTGTGTCGCATCACAATAGTTTTTGAAAGTTGTAATTAATCCACCGGTTGATTCATGTGTTGTGCGCTGTAGCGACACAGAGACGAGCTGAGCATGTTCACAGTGACCGTGAGAATACAGCGGTTTGGGATAGTCATGGTCAGATGTGACTCACTCTGACATATGGAATATTTTCTATATGAATCAGGAAGTTTCTCACTCTCAAAATCTCAGTTTAGGGCTGCAACAACAAGTTGATTACGATTAGTTGATCAATTGATTGATTCAGTCACTTTTCAAGCAAAGAAGCCAAATATTCTCTGGTTTAAGCTTCTTAAATGTGAAGATTTGTTGTTTTTCATATGATAGTAATAAAATAAAATATTTTCAGGTTTTGCATTGATCGTCTGATAAAGGACGAATTTGAAGATTTTTCTGAGAAAAAATGATCAGCGGAATAATCAGTGATGAAAACAGTCAGTTGCAGAATGATGTTTTGGTTTTGAAAATCAATACCAGGGCTGCAACTAACAATTATGTCCATTAGCAGTTAATCTGGTGGAGAGACTGACACAACTGCTCTCTCTCTCTCTCTCTCTCTCTCTCTCTCTCTCTCTCCCTCCCTCTCCCTCTCCCTCTCTTTCACACAAACACATTGACAACACACCCATCTGCGAGTAGCCCCTCCCCTCTGTGCACACTCCGGATCAAAACATGATCGTGCACAGGAGGAAGGATCGTTGAAGGCTCTTCCCCTCAGAGAGGAGGGTTAGCATAGCCGCTAGTTGGCATCAACTGCTCGTGCAAAGGGGATCATGTTGATATTAATTCTTTAACCCCGCTGAATGTTTGCTCCTTCAATCCAATCCTGATCCTGAGGAGGCACAAAGACAGGCCGGACCAGAGGTGTTAGGAAAGTTCAACCAGTTTGATTAGCTCTCCGATTAATTTGGCGTACTGTAGCCAGACACTGGCCTTTAGCTGAGGACTTAAATTAGAAGGGACTAAACATGAGGAGCACTTAAAAAGAGCTGAACCCAAACATGGGTCGATGAAAAGGGCTGTAGCCTAAAAATGATTACAAGTGGCAGCTCATTTTTAATTTTAGCATAAACCAAAACGGACTGCCCTGTTCTTTTGACACCAGACTGAAGTCTTACTATTTTTATTATGGAGAAGATAAGCATATCGTGTTGTTGAGGCGTGACTTGGAACTGAATTGTCATTTATATGCATATGGAAAAACTACTCGTATTGTGTCTGCGACACTGTGGTGTGATTGTTGTTGTCCGCTGCACACGCCGCACATTTGTCTCGGCTGTATGGAAATTGGATGGCAGCCGCATGGACACATCCAATGTGTGGAGATCTGCACTGTCAGCTCTTATATTCATGATTGATCACATTCAAGTACGTGATTAATAGGTCATGCATTAAATCATTAACACCTCCAATATTCAACTTTTTTTTTTTTTCCTAATGCAGCCTGATGTCCTGAGCTTTCGTTTCTGACTCTTCATGTTGGTTACATTTATCTGTGACCTTGAAAAGGTGTTAGTGGTTTCCCTCCACTGTTTATGTTGGTTTTCCTCATTCTTTCATTTCATGTCACCCTGTTTTACAACCCGTCGACCACAACTTACACCGTGTCTGACTGTGAGCAACGTAGTAATGTAACATGGGTTTGACGCTGTAATTATGCGGTTCGAATGTGGTTTTAAATTTGATTATATAATTTGTATTTTAAAGGAAGTAATCTAGTTATACCTCAGTAATAACAGGCCGTGTTTCCACTATAAAAGCATCACTAGTCAGTAATGAAGGTACAGGACCAGTCACTCCTGATCGTCATATCTATCAAGAATAAAAATGTATAGCTGCCACTTATGCAGTATGTGTGGGCGTGAGTGCGTTTGCCCCCAATTTTTGAAGATGAACAGGGTTGTGTTACACAATCTTGGGTAAGCGCATATGGACGTCAGTGTCTGCAAATGAAATAATTCAGTTAGATTCAAATCTACGTGAGATAATTACAGGTTCAATTTAATTATGTAGCATCAAATCATAACATACATTATCCTTAGGCAATTTCCCCAATATTTACATAATATAAATTAATATTATAAAGAGAAAACTAACAGTTCCCACCATGAGAAAACGCTTCACGCCAGTGGAGAGGAGAAATCTCAGACAGAGCCAGACTCCTGGGTGGGTGGCCGTCTGTCTCAACCAGTCGCGTTCAGAGGAGAGAAATGAGAGAGAGAGGAGTAAGTGGCTCACCTGAGCCAGATTTAATGATAAGCTTTATTAAAGAGGAAAGTTTTAAGCTTAATCTTAAATGTAGAGGAGGTGTCTGCCTCCTGGATCCAAACTGGCAGCTGGTTTTCACAGGAGAGGAGTCTGACAGCTGAAGTCTCTGCCCCCACTTCTACTCTCATTAGGCCTGCACTTAGAGACTGGAGTGTTTTTATTGGGGTAATATGAGTTTAGTTGTTAAGGGATTGTAGGTAAGAAGAGTTTGAATATTATTCTGCACTTTACAGAGAAGCTACACAGGAGAGATATGATCTCTTTTTGTAGTTCCTGTCAGTACTTGCGCTGCAGCATTTTGAATCAGCTCGAGGCTTTTCATTGAGGTATTGAGACATCCTGATAATAAGGAATTACAGTAGTTCAGTCCGGAGGTAACAGATGCATGGACTAGTTTTCGCCATCCTTGTGGGACAGGATGATTTCTTATTTTCACAATATTGTGCAGGTGGAAGAAGGCCGACCTACAGACTTGTTTTATTTGTGAGGTAAAGGTCATAATTGAATGTCAGTCTTCCCTGTCATATAATGCTCAGAATAACTGCACCAATGAGAGAATGAGCTCACCTGTCTTCCTCTACATTTGTGAAACTAGTGGTTCAGTCCACCTCCCTTCTCCCTGCACTTAAATCACAGGCCGGCTGCCATGTTGCACAATGTTGAGTAACTGCTGCCATGCGACTCATCGCCCAAGAATTACGATGGTGGTTTCACACCTAGTTATTGCCGTCTTTGACTCATGGTTTCTGTTAGAGTTGTTGCTTATTTGTGCTTTTTTATTTTTTTATTTGTCAGTTTAATCTTTTTCTTACAATTTTTTAACGTTACTCTGGTTTAAAAGAAGAATATGAAAACTTTAGATATAGATGGTGAATGCGACAAATACAGAAAGATGTTGCATGATCCTATAACTGTCACAACCATGGCAAAGATCACATTTAATTCACACCACCTTGTAAATAATACCAGAAGGGACTGTGCCCATATTTTATTGTCTGGCTCTCATGTGACAGTTGAGACAGCTGAGCAGACAGTAACAGAGGAATTTGGACCAGCCTTGTTTAGAGGTTTGGTCCTTTTTTATTATCACACATTAATGAAGCAGCAGCCTGGAGTTGAAGCCCTGCCCTATGTGTGGACATAACTCACCGGATCAGTAATCGGACCCATTTGAAAAGATGGGATTATTTTGTGTTTACACCTTGTCACTATTCCTGCACTGAAACAGCAGATTCCTCAGCTGTAGTGTTGGATTTAGTCACAGGCCAGTAGCAGTTGTCATCTGGATGTAAGACTGTAGAACACATTGCATTGTGCCCAGTTTGTAACTTATCAGTCACATTCACGTGAACACAACGAACTGTACTGCACCGAGAAACAAGATCGTGTGTCCGATACGTGACTGTTCGGAAAATGTTTGTCAAATTGTTGGAGATTTAAAATTTTGCTTGGCAAAATAAGGCTTAAAATAATTTCAGTTTTCTGTAGAGTAATATTTTGCAGAGATTGAAATCCAACATGAAAGTCATTGTTTTTATTACTGTTAAAACAAGTTTTTTGATTATCTGCAATATCACTGCAATGAGTGACCTCTTGTTTGCCTCTCTCGTGTTCATGCAGATGATGAGGTCGACAGCACAACAGGCGGTGGTGAAGACGGAAACTCTGGTGGGGGAACACCTCCAACCAAACGCAAAGGCAAGTTCTCCAAGATGGGAAGGATCTTCAAGCCCTGGAAATGGAGAAAGAAGAAGCCAAGTGAGAAGTTCACTGAAACATCTATAGGTATGCTGAGTACAAGGGCTCAATATCTTCATCTATTGTGTTCATTACTCTTTGCTTCAGTTATTTATGTGTTTTTCCTTGTTTTTTTTTTTTCAGCTTTGGAAAGAAAGATTTCTGTTAGAAAAAGTCGGCAAGAGCTGATTGCGAGAGGGGTTCTAAAGGACATCCAGGAGAATGGTGAGCTTGGACTTCGTTAAAGAATATTCTGTGGATGAATCGGCTTCATTTTTAACTATTATTCCACTGCTTGTGTCTTCATGTACAGAGAGCAATGATGTGAACCACTCTAAAGCTCCTCCAGTGAAAAATGGGCACCCCATGCCAATGGACGTGGACAGGGTGTCGGAAGCCGGGGTGCGGGTTTCTCGGGGGGAGTCTGACATGAAGGCGAATCCCCTCAGGCTGCCCCAGGGGGATGAACGTCGGAACAGAGCGCCGTCTGACGCCTCCCGAAGTAACCGGGCACCTCTGGACGTGGACTCTCACGCGCGGCTTACTGTGGACGTAGACAGACGAAGCCGCCTCCCGTCAGATGTTGATAAGAGAGGAGGATCTTTACCCCGAGGGCCTCCTCAAGATGATAGATACCGCAGAGAGGAGAGGAGAGAAGGAAAAGATGACAGGGAAGACAGAGGAAGGAAAGACAGGGAAGACATGGAAAGAAGGGACTGGCGAGAGGAAAGGGAACGGGATGGGGGAGTTGACCGGAGGGAAGACAGAGACATCAGAGAAAGGCGAGAATGGAGAGATGACCGAGAGAGGAGAGATGAAAGGACAGACAGGAGAGATCGCGACGAGAGAGAACGGCGGGATCGCGACGAGAGGGAACGGCGGGATCGCGACGAGAGAGAACGGCGGGATCGCGACGAGAGAGAACGGCGGGATCGCGATGAGAGAGAACGCCGGGATCGCGACGAGAGGGAACGAAGAGATCGCGATGAGAAAGAAAGGAGGGATCGGGACGAGAGGGAAAGGAGGGACCACCGAGACAAGAGAGATGACAGGGATCGGCGGCTTGAGAGGGAAAGGAGAGACAACCGAGATGACAGAGAAGAACGAGATGACAGAGATAGAAAAGACGACAGAGACAGACGGGACGACAGAGAGAGGAGAGAGGACAGGGACTGGGCCAAGAGAAATGAAAGGGAGCGACGAGATGAGCGGGAAAAGAGGGAGGAGAAGGAGAGGAGAGAAAAGCCAGACGAGTCGCGGCCTATAGTCAGACCTGTCTCTGAGATAAACCTGAGGCCTCCTCTGCAGAAGAGCTCCTCAGAGGACGCCAAGAAGACTCGCCCTGCCTCGGAGTCTGACCGGAGGAGTACGCTGCCCAGATACAGCCCGGTCACAGAGTTCAGAGAACGCTCAGGTAAGAGCTTGTCTTTAAGTTTCATTATTACACCAACTCACAGGGATGCCACAGTGGAACTTTTCCCACCGGGTAATAAACTCGCGACAACACCGGTGTTACAGAGACCACTGGAAATATGACAAGAAAAGACTTGTGGGCTCAGTATCTGTAGATTAGAAGCGTTACCTCCCAGATACCGCCACCTACGTCAGACAAAGTTTGCAGATCTTATTCATTGATTCTATCTGGTTCCTTTTTGGCATTGGGTTTAAATTTGATGCTTTTGCTTTTCACTTTGACGCCAAATTCTCTACCCTAACTCTGCTCTCGCCGCATGATAAGACGTCGGCCCTGCCGCTGATGTGTAAAGAATGAACCCAATGAATCAGCAAACCTCACTAATCTAGGCTGCGTTTTTTCCACTTGTTAAAACTGCCAGTTTGGGACATTCAACGGTGCGGTGATAATTGAGAAACTACTAGTAGGTAAAAGTTGATGGTTTTCTCAGAATCTGACTCAAAGGAAATCAGGAAAAATTTGTTGTCACATTATCTTGTCACACTTTTTTGACTCTGATGTTTCACAACATGATGAAAACTGGATGAGCCACACAGATCAGCTGCTATTTAATTTCCAGCTCTCATCATGCAGAGAGAAGTACAGAGGCATAGATTTCCTCTGGCTCCAGTGTTTCTGTTTGTCCTGAAGTTTATGAACTGTTTAAAGTCTTTTCATGAGAGATCTGAAGTTATTTTCCCCCAATAAAATTTGACCATAAAGGCCTGCTCAGTTGTTAAAAGTTGAGCCGTTATGAGGAGTGCAAACCTATAAACTGAACAGGTCGTTACAACTCGAATTTTCCTCAAACTTTTCCTCCCCCTGACGTCCAAACGACTGTTTGAATTTTGAATAAAAAGTGACAGCCCTAACACGTCCACAAAAATGTGCATACAGGGATATGGAGGTTAAATAGAAATCATATCTTCTCTCATATCCGATTGCTGGTGGAGATTGTTGATTGCAACGAAAACTTTCTTCACCTCTCTCTGATTGTGACGCATTAGATAGCGAAGCCATTTTCAGAACAAATCCTGCTTTCTATCATAGTCGGTAAAATAATACAAACCAAATTAATTCAGGTAAAATTGTTCTTTTTCCCTGCGCACCCATTGTTTCCCCTCCAGGAGCCTGATGAAGTCGTACTTTAATGTCACAATCCTTCATTCACTTTGTTGAATGTTTACTTGGCTTCACTGCTGAGATCGCAGTTACTGGGGTTTAGATAAATAAACATGGTGGTATTCTCATGTTTGACTCAACCCTTTAGTGATATGGTGACGATGCTGCGTCAATCTCACAGTGAATCAGATCTGGATTCCTGTGCTACACGCTTAGCCTGTCTGACTGTGGCTGCAACTTTGATGTTTACAGCGATAACTAAGTGCAGTGCGTTAATGTTTAGATGATGAGCAGCGATTTGATCGAGTTTGAGTCGGTAAAATGTATCGTACAGAGGAAATGAGACGTTTATACTTGACTAATAGATATGAAACTCTGACATTTGTTTTTGTCGCAGTTTCCGTCTTGTGCCACTTTTCCGTTTAAATAAAAACACTACTGCTGTCCTTCTCTGCGAGGTTCAGATTTGATGTCTTTTATTGTACGCTGCATTAATCACCAGTGGATGAAACACTTGTCCTGTTTGTTCTCACGTTAGCACATTGGCAAGTTCAGGCTCTTCAGCTCTGCAAACCATTTTCAGAGTGAATAGTTAGTCACTGAGTGTTTTGTGATCTTGAAACGCCGACACGTGTGGAAACCAAAGTCCCCTGATGGTGCTGTGAAGGCATGTCGGGTGAATGATTGAACTGTAACTCTCTAAACGTGGGGCGATGAAGCTGAAACAGTAAACATCAGGCTCTTGATACGTGGGATTTAATATGAAAAGCAAATCGCTGCGATTCTTTGATCTGCCTCCATGTCTGGTGTGTGTGTCTTAAAGATGGTTTGATTCATGTTACCCATCATCCTCTGCTGACTATAGAGCCTCGATCAGAGTCGCCCTCGAGCTCTGAAAGATCTGCTTATTTTCCAAGGTTTTCAAGCACCTCTTGAGTTTTAAGTAGAACCCTTGTTGTGACCTCCCCTTTAATGTTAGTGTGTGTGTGTGTGTGTGTGTGTGTGTGTGTGTGTGTGTGTGTGTTTACCCCTCTGTAGAGTCTGCTGTTGTCCGCTCCACCCCTGACCCTCATCCAACACAAGACTCGCAGCAGGATCCTCCCCCGCTCAAACAAGCTCTGCTTCCCCCAAAATTCCTCACTGCTTCCTCCACCGAGTCTGCCAGGAGTCCAACCCCCTCCTCCTCTTCATCCTCATCCTCCTCGTCCTCCTCCTCGTCCTCTGCTCCTGTGGCCGCGGCCAAGCCGCCAAGGACTGTCTCCCTAATAGCTGACGACTCCTCTCGACCCTCCCTCACTGCTTCTTCCTCAGCAGACCCTGTCACGCCGCCCCCTGTCCCTCCCCACGCCAAGCAGCCTCCCGTCCCTCCACCCAAACCCAGCAACCGCCACAGCAACCCTGCACTGCTCGGTGAGTTTGTCCATGTCTGTTTTATTGCACACATAAAATTAGTCCCTCTCTCTATAAACAGCTGCTTTGGTCTTTGTGTATCTGTCTTTGTGCTGTTAGTCAAACAAACTGTAGAACTCGAATAAGGGCCGAAGAAACTCACCTGAACCTTTTTGAGAAACGATGGTCTCAAATTGCAAGTTCAACACTGGGCTTCAACGAATTCTGGCGTAAAGCAAAACTGCTGTTACACTTTGTCCCCTCAGCTGTAAAAATGTACGCCATCCCTGAAACAGGCTGAAGTCATTCCTTATTGACTGTTGACTCATGATGGACACAGGCTACTTTATACTGATGATGACACTGACATGCACGCTCAGTATCTGCACAGCTCATATCCCTTTAAGACCAGAATCTGTAACATCTCTCTTATTATTTATGACCATGTATATTTATTTATTTATTTATAGATTATTGTTGAATTGTCAAAGAAGTGATGGACAAATATACAATTTATCATACAGTATGTTATATAGCTCACACTTAATTTATTCAAATATAATACCAAGATCACAAACAAACAAATACACATAAGGAAAAACATTTATTTGCCTTCTTATATATTTTACATTATTTACATTATATATTACTTTTAGACCCATAGATAATGTGTTTACTTTGCCATTGAGCACAAGATCAAACTTAGGTTGAGCTGGTGTTGTGTGTGTGTGTGTGTGTGTTGTGTGTGTGTGTGTGTGTGTGTGTGTGTGTGTTGTGGTGTGTGTGTGTGTGTGGTGTGTGTGTGTGTGTATATATATATATATATATATATATATATAAGGCGTCGCTTCTGATTAGAGATTTAATTTTATCCATCCTGAAATATTCTTGTAGAGAAAAGGCTCTTTTTATTCGAACGAAACTGCTGTTGTGAGGCGTCAGTTCAGGTTGGGATTAACATGGTATGTTGGGTGGTGCCCACACCTGTTTCAAAGATACAGATGAAGCTTTTTGTTTGTTGTGGCGTAGCTGTAGTGATTTTTTTGGAAAGACTTATTCATCTATTATGTGTGTGTGTGTGTGTGTGTGTGTGTGTGTGTGTGTGTGTGTGTGTGTTATGCCGATGCAGAGAAAAGTTGCCTCCCTCCATCTTTGAGTGAAAGAAAGTTATTGATGGGTAGATTTCATTTTTTTATGTTTGGTATTGATGTTTTTCAGATTCTCCCAGATGTGTTGAGATTGCTTTTTAGATGTTTATATTACACAACTTGTTTCAGAGTAGGAGTTTGAAAACTGATAATGAAGAATGAAACGGTTACTGATTAAAGTTGTCACTGTGCTGCTGGTAGTTGTATTTGTATTTCTGAAATAAAATCCACATGGTGCATTTTCAAGGTTTTTAGGAATTGTCTGTATTTACCTTGAGTCCTTCCCCTGATCTGAAGTGTGAGGTGTTTCTCTGTGGCTCGTTGCTGTGTAGGTGTTTTTCCAACATGATGCTGGTGTGTTCTCTCGGTGTTGTACAGCCACCGGTCTCTGGGGAGGGGACATGCACCGGCTTGTCTTTGCACCATTTATGCAACACCAGCACTTCTCTGGAGGGCAGATAGAAACTGATTGGCTTTTAGTATTTCATATCCTTTGTCCCAGCATGCCACAGCTGCTCTTGTTTACAGCCCATCCCCTTACTGTCTGCGGCAGTGACACATTCCACTACCATTTGTTAGGTGAAGTTTCACACTGTCACACTGTTAGGATCCACAGTCTCCAGGTGTTTTTTCTTAGCTCACTTTGTTTGTTCCAGTGTATTATAGACTGTTAAGACTTTTTTCCCCCCCTTTGTTTCCAATGTGCTCGATACTAAGTTTATTTATCATATTGTCAGTTATGCTTTCTCACAGGACGACGTTGGACACATCAGAAATTATAGTCTGACTGATACAGGATTTTTTGAGGCTGTTACTGCCATTGATATTTTGGAAATTAAGAAATCAGATGATATATATTGACAGATAGTAATGTCTATTAACATAAGTACACACATGATCTTGATATGTAGTATTAAATTCGTTTAAAAAAAGGCCAAGACACTTACTGTATAGGACATTTTATAGTGTAAAATCGACTTGTCGGTGCTCTCTGGTGGAGAAACTGTGTAAAAGTGACACTTTTTTTCAGTCGAACCTAGTTTGACATTCTGTACTACAGTCTCTTGTTACTCATCAGCAGGCTTATACACCAGTACTAATATATCTGCAATAGTCTGATAATACGCTGAATAAGCTGGAACAAGTTAAAGTGGGGTTTCCCTGTGATGAATCCCCTGACAAAGACTAGTTTTATCATCTCGAACGAGCAGAAATGCAAGAACCATCATAATGAAACTGTGGTACTTTGTGTAATCAGGAGTTTGTTTTTTATCTTGTGCTCAGTCATTTCTCCACAGAAGTTGTTAATCATCTCAGGATGGATGTATACTCTGCTCCTGGACAGTGTAAAGCCAAGACAAACATTATCCGAAACCCCCCCTCCCTCCCTCCCTCCCTCCCTCCCTTCCTTCTTGTATTCTCCCCCAGCTTGGAATGTAAACCCAGCCCCATCCCTGACATCTCCACTCATTTTTGCCAGCTTGCTCATTGAACAGGGGCTCTAAGGCCAGGCAGCCTTGTTACTGGACCAGCTGGAGACGCCAGAGCGAGCTCGGCCTCTACCTCTCTCTGCCCGTGTACCTGCAGCACAGGGCTGGAGGGACCTGCTCAGGTACCCAGCGGGGCGCCGGACATCAGTCCATCTTAGTAAAAGCCTGCAGACGGGTGGTATAGATCCACCAGCTTCAAAGCATCTGGAGTACCTCACCTCCATTTTTTAACACCAGTACCTCATCGCATGTGTATCGCAGCCGTTGGAGATGTTTTCAGCTCGACTAACTTACTCTTAACACTGCCAGGAAAACATTGCATGGAAACTGGATGGATATCTAGTGTGCTGGAGTGCATTGAATGCGTTTGTTGAGACCAGGGAATGTTCATTAAAGACTGTTGATGTATGTGTTTGTGTGTGTGTGTGTCACCCTCACTGACTCGGCAAAGAGCTCAGCTGTAACAGGACCATCTGTTTTCCTCCCCGACTAAAACTATTGTTGCTTTTGTGCTTATTTTTGTTGATGAAACTAACGTCACCCGTCTTCAGAGTGAATGTGCGTCTTCACATTCTCGCTGCAGGTTATGTTTGCGAGCTTCTCTCCATATAACCAGTACTGATTATTGTTGTTGGCTGGTTTATTCACAGCGGAGCTTTCGCAATCCGGCAGCGGCGTCATCGTAGTCCCGGCGCCCACTAAGCGTTCTCCACCGACCCCACCGAAGAGGATGACCCCCGTCACCAAGCGCTTCTCCATGGATCCTTCCCCTCCCAGTCAGATCCCAGACTCCGCTCCCACTGATCCAGCTGCTGCCGCTGCACCGGCGCACCCTGCTGTCATTAAAGGAGATAACAGCGAGGACAGAACGAACGCAGCAGCCCCTCAGACCTCCACCGACCCTCTGCCGTCACCGCCGTCCCACATACCTCCGTCTCCTCCCAGGGTTCAGTCGCTCCAGCCGCCCAGCAACACCTCCTCCGGTCCTGCGTCCGCCGTGCAAGCGGATCCCCCGAGCCCGACCACCGAGCCTCCCAGCCAGCCTCCAGCCATCCCCCTGCACATCCTCATCCAGAGAGCCCTCGCCAGCCCCGGCCCGGCTCAGCCCAACCCGGACGGCTCCCAGAGAGCCCACTCACTACTGTTTGAGTCGCCTCCAGATTTCCTCACCGAGGTCGGGGCCAACTCACGGCATTCTCTCCCGATCACCATCGAACCTCTCAGGCTGTAAGTGTTCCATATACTGTACACTACATGCTTATTTAACAAAACATCATTGCTTTGAAAGTTGAGAATAAAAGGGAGCAGTAATTTAAATATGGTTAACTTCCTGTAGCCTTACTGAGAGTTAACACTGGGCTCATCACTTGTAATCACCTAGTAACATGACATATCTTTGGGTTAGAGTTTTTGCAGGAAGTGAGATGGAACATAAGTCTAGAGATTAACCAGCAGCCGTTTTTGATTAGTTTCACCGGTTGCATCCTCTTAAATGTGAACGTTTGCTGATAGAAAACTGAAGATTATTTTTTTGTTGATCTGAAGAAAACAAGACATTTGAAGATGTTCCCCTCGTGTTCTGAAAAATAGGACATTTTTCAGCATTTCCTGAGCTTTTATCGGCCATAAAAGAATCAGTTAATCAAGAAATTCAATTACAGATTCATCCATAATAAAAAATATTGTTTCATTGTTGCCTGACAGCCAAGCACTTTGGGCTTGTCTAAGTTATCCACTGTGGTTCATATTAGTTCAGTGAGCTGTTTCTCTTATTTAGCCTACACTCACTGATAAACAGGGGTGGACAAAATAATAGAAACACCTGCAATACAGTTCGATATCACCACAAACTTTATCCTCCCCCAAAAAAAAACAACCATTAGTTGAGAGTTACTGTTGAGTTTTGTTGATCTTTTTTCAAACTGGTTTCTGTGTTGATGACCAGTGTCTCAGTTTTATCAGAATTTAAAAGCAGGAAATGATGCGACATCCAGCTTTTCACAGCAGATGAGCGGACGACTGATTTAATGATTCGAGAAGGTTCGTCCCTTTTTTACATGTAGCTGAGTGTCATCAGTGATAATTCGGCCAAGAGGTGAAATATGAAGAGAGCAGAGCCCTCGGGTACTTCATATTTCACATCAGAAAATATTAAATGTAGTGATATTAGAGGAAACACATTGTGTTCTTTCAGATAAGTAAGACTTTAACCACATGAGAGCCAGGCGAGAGACGCAGCACAATCCTTCCAGCAGTATACGACTCACCGAGGTCGAGTACTAGAAGCACAAACCTGGAATCTGAATCCATAGTAAGCAGAAGATCATTCACCCATTCAAGTTGGTGCAGTTTCAGTGGAGTGACTGGCCCTGAAAGCAGATTGAAAAGGTTCAAGGGGATTACTGTTCAATATGTGGGCCTAAAGCTGCTGAGACACGGCTCTCTCTGGTACCGTTCAGAGAAATGGAAGGTCAGAGACTGCTCCATAATTTATAAGAGGCCCTGGATCAAGGTGTGATTTCTTAAGTAAGTAAGTCTTTCACCACAGCAGTTTCAAAGCTGGAGGGGACGGTGCCAGTTGTAAGTGATAAATGAACAATATATAGCAGCATAGGTCCCAGAGATTGATGGAAAAATTGATCTGGTGAAGCGTAGAGGAGGAAGGTCATAGGTTTAGAAGCCAGCGCCAGCTTAGAGATATGGGATTTAACATAATGCTCAGCTGATTCTGCAGAAGAAGCTGCAGATGAGGAACACATTTTCCGTCTATTCTATCTATTTTACTGCAGAACCAGAAGAAATCATGAGCCATACAGAGCCAAAAAGAAAACTAGGATTGTGTTTATTGTTAACTGGTGACGCTTCAACCTCCTGCAGGCCTCCTTCAGAGCCACCAGGAGACTAGACTAGCTGGTAAAGTTTTCGGTGTCCTCAGGGTTGGTCCAGCTTTTTTTTTTACAAACTACCAGGCACTAAAAGTCAGGAAACTCTGGTCTCTGCTGCCTCAACTTTTATCCGTCTTCCACTAGTTTTCAACTTTATCGAATCTCAATACTGACTGGCTGGAGTACCAACTTGCTCCAAGGCTACAAGCAGCAGAGCAGCACAATGCAGTCCAGTCAGACTCTGTAGAACTGTATGTTGTTAATCTCTTCAGCAAACACTTCAGCTTTATTTCCTCAGAAGCCAAAGGGGATGAAAAATTGCCTAAAGGTTCTTGGCTGAGCACCAGGTTAGAGCATCAGGGTAGAGATTGTTTTACAAGAAACGTTTTACAGTTTGTTGAAACAACAGAATCTCACCGCTGCTGTGTTTGTGTTCAGGCCAGAAGACGATGACTTTGACATGGAGGAGGAGATGAGGAAGCTCCAGCCTCAGAGGCTTCCTCGTCAGCCTGAGCTGGAGCCCCGCAGCCGCAGGGGTTTGGTCGGAGACCCCAGAGTCAGCGTCATCCCCGAGGGCGGAGGCCCCGGGGACAGCGAGGAGGAGTCCGACTCTGACGGCCCCATCCTGTACAGAGACGACGACGATGATGAGGACGATGAGGAAGGCCCTCCGAGTAGGTTTTGGCTTTCTTGTACTGCAACGTTATCGCTTCTTCAAGATACTCGAAAATGCATCATATATAATATATATTTCAAGACCTTTTTCATAGTTAGATAATGAATAAAGTCTTTTAATATAGTATATCTCTTACTCTGGTTATACTCCACACGTTATGTAAGAAAAATGTCTTCAGAGTGCAAAAAGTTGGAAGGCAACTATTTTTAATAATTGGCTTTTTTGCTTGACAGTAATTAACCGAAAACATCCTCGTTCCAGAGGAATCTCTACTTTTCTTTGTCACCATGAAAGTAAATGAAGTAACTTTGGGGTTGTGGACTAATGAGATTGAGGTTTGGGCTCTGGGAATTTGTGATGCATATTTTTTTTTTTTCATATTATAATTGTTAGTTGCAGCCCCATTTCTGAAAAGCATCTTAAGGCTAAGATGATCATAAAATCCACTTTACAAACCTTATGAAACCTAAAAGGTGTTAAAGGTTTGTAACTGAAGACACTGACACGAAGGATGATAGGTTAGATTAGATTAGATATTATCTCCAGCCCTCTGCTAGGAGGTTAAGAGCATGTCAAGAAGTTCCACTATTCCTTTTATCATGGACACTGATGTTCTTTGTGCAGTGCCATTTGATTTCAAATGACGGATGTGAATGTTTGAATTACAGAAAAAGAAAATAAAACTAGTGCTCACACTTTGAACATGAGAATTTTAAAAACCTATAATGAGCCTGTAACGTATTGAGCAATATTATACAATAAATTAAACCACCCCTATACAGAATGTTTAAAATGAGCTTTACCACGTCAGCTACAGTATTTAATCGCTGTTTACATGTACTGTACATGCATTAATATTAATGAGAATCTAATAGTGTATAAATATGTATATATATTCTGCTGATAATGATGCCGTACTTTTACTTAAGTGAGGTTTTGAATGCAGTAACTGTGGTACGACTTGTTTTTACTTCAGTAAAAAGATCTGAATTCATCACCACTGGTGTGAGTCTAATAGAGAAATGATGACTGGTATTCACAGCAGATATGTGTGAAACCCGTAAGAGCGGTCACTGCTGGATTTTAGGTTTATTATGAGCTGCAGAGCAACATCTGCCTCGAGCGGCAGCTACATCAATAAAAGTTTACTTCCTTAAACTGAGGGCAGCCTGCTGAAATCTGAGCACTGGTTACTGAACATTAAAACGCTTTGTTTTCAGAAGACGTGGTAAACAACTCACAGGAGTATGTGTTTGTAATATCTTACCGATTATTAAATATGCCCAGTTACTTCAAACCGTATTGAGCATCGTCTTCAGCACCACGGACAGCTAAAGCTAACAGCTGCTTTGGGAACAGCGTTCACAGAAGCACTAACAGAAAACTTCTCGGCTTGAAGTTTGTCGTAACACTTCAAAGATCACACAGGATCTGCTTTAACATCATATAAATAGTGAAATGATATACATGAATACTCTAATAGCAACGCACTGGCGCCCTGTATGTATAAGTATATGTGTCGTGTGTGTGTGTAACAGGTGGGCTGGCGAGCCGCGTGAAGAGGAAGGACACGTTGGCGCTGAAGCTGGAGAGACAGGAGCGGGAGGAGCGGGACGCTCAGGAGAACCAGGACAGCATGAGTTGGCACAACAGGGAGCAGTGGGTGGCGCTGAGGAACAAGATCGGCACCACGCTGACACGGTAAAGACCTCTCAACACATCAGCTGACTGATGCACACGATCATGATTTATAGCGCCCCGTTGTAAAATTGGATGCGGCGAGTCGGTGTCATCCGTCTGTTTGACCGATCACGTCCGTGATTTATAGTGTGCGCAACACTCATACCTTCAGTTTGTCAGCCGAACCTTCTCCTGATGTGATCCATGATCTATACCAGCCGTTAAAATGGTTAATGAGCAGTGTTGTCCATCTTCAGGCGGCTGAGTCAGAGACCGACGGCGGAGGAGCTGGAGCAGAGGAACATTCTTCAAGGTGAGTGAGACTCTCCCTCCATTCTTCACTCAGGTGTTTATTCGCTTTCCATTCCTCAGCAGCACAAACTCAAACTTATTATCTTTCTCATCTTTGCTGAGTCTGCAGCCGTCACTCGTCCACTGGCTAATGTTTGTTTTTCGTGTGTGTGTGTGTGTTTTTTTGACCTGACAGTTTAAATTATGGTCAACAAATACACATTGTAATCTTATTTTAATGACTCTCGTGTGCCAACATTTATTATTCTTTTTATTTTATCATGCCTTTGATGTGTCCCCGCGTTTCATCACTGCGTCGTGTCGATCTTTTCATTTTCTCCTTTTGTTATGAGGCGCATGAATCACATACAAAGAGGAAAGATGCATCGGATCAGATTTAGCTGCAGCTCATTTCCATCCCTGCGCAGTTAGACCCAAACGCTAATGCAACTAATGCGGTTAGTCTCCTTTGATATTAGTGCTATAAACTAAACTATTGATTACTCCCTGACACTGATGACGATAATTGAGATAAAGTCATGAGTCACTGGCGCAACGTGTGCTGTACGAACCGCAGCAGGACGGCAGGACAGGAAGGACGCGGCCCAATCAGACTCGGTGAACTTGCAAATTATTTGGTAACCGTGGTAACGGGCCGCCACGCGAGCGCATGGATCGTTCCTTGATCAGACAGTCAAAAGCTGTTAAAGCTGCAGCGTGGTATGAAGTCCGTTACAGAGTGTGTGACAGAGAGATCCCACAGTGATGATACGTCCCGTGATGTTGCTGTGTGAGACTCTTTTTCTACGCGTCTCCAGTTGTTTGTCGTTATTTATAACACGAGGTTTAATAATACCAACAGCGCTGCTTGGTTAAGTTTGTTTAATGTTATTTAGTTTTGATAGAAAACTTAAAAAAGCATTAGTGCTGCTGCTGTTTAACTTGTTTACTCCTCCTGGTTCATTTGTACTGGATCACAGATTTCAAAGGATTTCTGTGACACATACACTCAGATTCCAGTTTATTAGGTACATCTAGATAAAAGCAATGCAGTAATGCAACAGGCAATAAATGATGAGGATTATCATGGTGTATTATACAGCATTAGTTTCATGTAGGTGTGCCTAACAAATTGGCATGTGAGTGAAGATTAATTTCTGTTGCGTTAGTTGAAGCCATTTTCTCATTCATACATGGCCGTTAAAGGAAACAGATTAACATTATATGACGCCAGGTGGAACGTTACGTTGCCATAACAACAGTACAGCAGGTGCATAAATCACTCGTTCCACCTGTATTTCCTAATAGGGATAGGGGGATTAGGGATATAAAGTAAACAAAGTGTTATAGTTAGAAACCAGTGTGAAAAATCGATTCGACAATATTGTAACTAAAAGACAATAATATCCACACAACACGTCGAGCCGGCTACCAGCAGACTCAGTGTAGTAAAACTCAACTTGGATCCCAGAACCAGGTCTGAACATAATACCTCTGGGAGTCTGTCAACACGTTTTGATCCAGGATTCATACCTCCACACTGTGTCTCGCCTGTCCTCAAATGACTGGGCCGAGACGGCGCTTCGCACCCGCGCTACAACAATGCAGCGCCTTGTACAGAGCGAGGCAGTGATTATAGATTCCTGTTGCTGCAGTGCGCCGACAGCAGCTCAGATGAAATCTAACTGACTGGCTTCAGTGTTTTCCCCCTCGCTCATGGAATGTGTTTTCCTCCCGCAGCCAAGAACGAAGCGGATCGGCGATTAGAGAGATGCGAGATCAAACGGAGGCTCACCAGAAAGGTCAGGATGCAACGCAGTAACTGTATCGTACATTTGACAGTATATCTGGATTGTCATCGTCACTGTTATGAACACCTGGATTGAATACCCCTGTTCGCTCTGCCGTCAGCTGTCCCAGAGACCCACGGTGGCCGAGCTCCAGGCGAGGAAGATCCTGCGTTTCCACGAGTACGTCGAGTGCACCCACGCCCACGACTACGACCGGCGAGCAGATAAACCGTGGACCAAACTCACTCCTGCTGACAAGGTGAGACTCAACACATCCTCACCTACACACACACACACACACACACACACACCTCTCTTTATACTAACAGTGCTCTTGCAACTTAGAGCACTGTTGCGTTCTTTTTACTTGGGTCAACTCTGAGAGGATTTGCATTCCAAGCAGATTCATTATCGAGGAACAATCCCAGGAATTCAACAGAGATGCTGCTTAATGACCGAGTTGAGTTTTACCAAGTGAATCAACCCGGTCCAGTGAAAATATGTCGGAACAGGACTGATATGTATGTTAAAGATGGAAGTGACATGACTTCAAGTTCATGTGGAATCTGTTCTGCCTCTCTGAGTTTGTGTAGTATACCAACAGGGGAAAAAAAAATAATCTAAATATAGAGAGCTTTGATCACACGCTTCCTTTCTTCCTTTTGTGAACTTTGCCATAACGGATAAGAGCCGCCCCCTCCCCCCACTGAAGAGCTGTGTCTTTCATGTCTCCTCTCTCAGGCTGCCATCCGCAAGGAGCTCAACGAATTCAAGAGTTCAGAGATGGAGGTTCACGAAGAAAGCAGGATCTATACCCGGTCAGACTCGTACACAGCACCGCATCAATAATTCACCTCAACTGTTTCCTAAGTGTAGTCAGCAGACTCGTCAATATTTCATTAGTTGTCTTTTCTCTTTCGAAGATTTGCTGTTTTTCCTTGTTGTTGTTGTTGTTGTTCCCTCTTGACCTTCCCCCCCCCCCTCTCTCTCTCCTCCAGGTTCCATCGGCCTTAGTTGTCAGTGCTGACCAGTGAAGCGCTCGCACCGGGAGTATCCCCTCTATGAACTGACCGTGTGGCCCACTTGGTTCATTTTTCTTTTCTTTTTTTTTTTCTTGTTGTGTCGCTGACTGCCTGCTAACACGCGTCAGCTGAAGACACCTCACTGTCGCTGATAAACTGGAACCAAAGCGAAAGAAGCCGCAAATCAGTTCAACCACGGCTGGTTCTCACACATGCTCCGGTTCTTACACTGTGGAATTCAGGACAAGAGTTTGGGGGCGGGGGGGGGGTGTTTGGCACGGGCGCCATCACTAAAGAGCGAGGAATCCCTCCTCCCTCCCACTGCTGGAGACTCAGACTGAGTTTGATTGAACAGAAAAGGGTAACTCTTGAAGGGGTTATCTCGCAGAGGAAACCACTCTCACCATGCCTTCACCTGCCTTCGCTTCCTTGCAGAACAGGAAGTCTGTGCACATAGAGAGATAATTGTAGCACTGATGACGTTACCACTGAGTGAATCTGGAGTCTGTTTAAACACTGTTTTATATGTGCATGTTTGGTACTACACACGTGGCACCAGCCTTACTCCTCACGTGATCTAACACACGTAATTTTAAAATGTAGACAAAATGTGAACGATGTTGGTGCGTTTATTTAAACCTCAGTCGTAGTTTCTTCTGAATCAACAGTCGAGCTCTGTGTGTAGACACTCAGAGCGCAGATCCCAGTCTAATACCCTAATATCTGTGCATTTTTACTGTATTTTCTCGATCATTTAAATGATTATGAGCACATATCACTAAATTATCTTCTAATAAGGCACCTTATGTTCCTTAATTGGGTGTATAGACAATTTAAAGGTTTTCGAGCCTCAAATTCTTTGTTTATAATTGAATTATTGAAGCCGGAAAATGTACATATTTTTATTTTCCTGGCTGTTTTACGGTACTTTATATACGCAAGTCAGTAGATGGCTGCAATTGTATAGATCAATATGTAGATTTGATTAACTTTATATTGTATATCTACAAGTAATGCTGACATGTTTTAATTGTAAAGTATTTCTCAAATGTTATTTCCAAGTAGAAATGGTACAAAATATCTATCTTTTTTTTTTTTTTTTTTGATACAGAGATCTTTGAACTTTTTTTTTTTTTGCAACCACACTGTATAAATGAACAATCCACTCAGAAATTACAATAATCTGTGATATTCATTTCAACATGGTGTGATTATTCCAGTGTCTGACTCTTCATCATTTTAACACATCTGTCTCCCGGGGAACGAGATTGTCACGGTGATTATGAGTGAGTGACACATGAAGTATATATATATATATGGCCTCTTAAAACGACCACACGAGGGCAGTGTTGTACAAATTCACAAAACCACTCGCCATCATCTCAATGCTTCTAATCCAATAATGTGGTTTCAGACAAAGAAACTCCTGATTTAAAAAAATCATTTCTTCCCTCACAGAGTCCTGGACCTGTGTGGTTTACTGTCCTTAATTGAAGAGTCATTGGCTTCAGATAAGTGCCACTGACATTTCTTTGAACAAACACAGTGTTTGTCCCTTCATCCTCCCCCCGTGACGCTAATTAGCAGCATATCGACATGGAGTCAGTCAACAGGGACGCAGCTGTCCTCCACTTATCCTTCAGATAGTAACTGAATGTCAAATGATTATTAAAGCCGCGGTGATGAGAGGGATTTTCATTTGGACAATAGTTTCAGTATCATCGCATCCTGCTGAAACAACGGCAAGTTCTGAGGTGCAGAAAGTGTGTTAATTAATCAGTTTATAATGACCCGCTAAGCAGCGAATGCGCTTTTAGTTCAGAGAAATATCAAAAGCCTGTAACACACACCAGCACTGAAAACAACACATCCTCTAATTTCATGATATTTTAACCCTTAAATTCGTGGGTTAGATTTGATCATTCATCATGCAGCACCATCAGAGAGACGTTGGTTCGGCCCCGAATGAAACTAAATTGTGCAGCAGGACGATGAACCAGGAGTCCTGTAGCAGATGGTCCGGCCTCCACAGAGTCCTGATCTCAACATCATGGAGTCAGTGTGGGACCACATGAGGAAACAGGAGACACTGAGACGCACAAGATGCTGATTTGAATAGTTTTTTTTTTCTCTCTTCGTTCCCCCCTTTGTATAAATTGATGAATATACACTGAGATAGACACGTACTGTATATATCAGTTGTCACTTGTCATATCTATTATCGTATTTACCACGAAACACGTAGCTACAGGGAACCCCGGTGAACCCCATCGTGTCTCTGCGACGGTAGACTAAAAAGACTGCATTTGAAAGACACCTACTTGATTTGATTAATTTAGGTGACAGACGCTTCATTTTAACTTCCATGGGAGGGATTTTAGAAACGGAACCTTTCAGCAGGAATAGTACAAGCAAAAACAAAAACTTTTTAATGTTTAAAATTTGTAACTAGGTGTCTCCACGTGCCCTGATTTAGAGCGAGCCGGACCAGGTCAACCTGTCGGGCCCTTCGTAGGCTGCTTTAAATTAATCCTATAATTACACAAACTCTGAGCGTGAGGGTCCTCATCAACAGATTGTCAGAAGACTTCTCATCTCTAAATTGGTTAGCTAGTTATCATGCTGTCAAGCCGTTTGTGCGGTGGAACATATGTGGAACTAATTAGAGCTGCTGACATCCTGGCCAGTGGCCTAAATGTAGCCACAGAGGGGCTTGGATACTTGTTTAACTTGATTTTAACCATGCGAGCAGCATGGGATGGCAACATGCGTGGGTTGCTCCACCACTCTAATCCAGACTGAGACGTCATTAAAAACCACTTGATGAATTACTATTAAAACTTGGTAAATGTTCATGGTCCCCAGAGGATGAACTTTGGTGATCTTATAGGAAGTGTTGTAAATGAGTAGCATTGCTTTTGACAGGAAAATGACTTATATCCTTATTTTTACATCATGAAGATAAGTCAAGCTTAAAATGTGGGACATTATATTCACGAAATATCAAGCTAATGTGTCACAAAATGAAAGCAGAATCATTTTTACTTCTATCTGCACCAGTAAAGCGCGGAAAAACAAAATCAGCTTTCTGTTCTCGAGCACCGACTCTGCATGAATGTCCGATTAGCAATAAATCCTGAATGTTGAAAGGAACTATGTTTACTAGTGAGATATTATATTCTTCTTCTTCCAGGAAAAAGAGAAAAAAAATGAGCTGAACTCGACTTCATCTTGGATATGAGCATTTAATATTTATGACTGCATTGGAGCAATGAAAATTTTATGTTCAATTTGTCTTCCTGGAGACTAATCAATGCATTGAGTTTTTGTGGCGAGCAGCCAGAATTGGATAACAAACCTCTATTAGGGACAATTCATAATCTAATAACACTTCACCATCATCTTGTCATGATTATATCGCTACGCAAGATTTGGGATTTTAAACATGGGAGAATTATCTTTCGTGTGATATTCTTGTCCCAGTTTAAGGATTATAATAATAATCAAATCCCAGGTTATTGCAGCAAAACCACCACAACGCTCCACCCTGACCACCTTCTGCTGCTGCTGCTGCTGCTGCTGCTGCTGCTGATGAAGCACAAATGAAGACTTTGCTTTAAAGACAGTAGCCTGGAGGAAAGCTGGTTTTGAAGCAGCATGAGATGGATTGTAGGAGAGGGTGGTGGGGGGTGAAACCACCACAACGCTCCACCCTGACCACCTTCTGCTGCTGCTGCTGCTGCTGCTGCTGCTGCTGATGAAGCACAAATGAAGACTTTGCTTTAAAGACAGTAGCCTGGAGGAAAGCTGGTTTTGAAGCAGCATGAGATGGATTGTAGGAGAGGGTGGTGGGGGGTG